TCCCTTTCTTTTCCTTATCGTATTATACTTTCGTCGCTCATTTCTCTTTCCTCTTTATTGTTCGCTTCTCGCATACTAGTGTATATTTACTGGGTACTGGATATCTCACTTACCCTCGTGCCCTGGCTTGCCTCATCTCAGTCATTCTTATATTTTTAAGTTAACAGCTAATTGGATTTATTTTTTTAAATTTCATTAATCATTTCTATTTTTGTAATATGCACTGGTTTCCCTTTGTTCTCTTAATTCTTTTTATTCCTAATTCATTACACGATCAATTTATCCTTCTCTTTATTTTCTTCAGTTCTTTAATCCCTTTCTTGCTTTTTTTCTCGGTTTTTCTCTTTCTTCCTTTGAGTTTTAAATTTTGTAATCTTTTTTTTCTTTTCTTATTTCCCTTTTCGATATAATTCTCTTTCGCTTCCTCTTCATATTTCCCGTCATCATCGATTTATTAAATTTTTTCGTCATCATTTTCATCTTTATATTTTCAGTACGCTAGTATCACTTAAAGTATCTTATTACTCTTGTGTATTCTTTAATCTCAATACATTTGCCATATATATTTTTCCCTCTGTATAAAGTTCTTTTAGCATCTAATTCCCAATTATCTTTATATAACTTACATTATCATTCATCTTCATTTTTCACGTCCATATTTCATTTTAATTTTCATCACCTTGCATACTTTTATATTTTTATCATCAATTGGTAACTGATCTCTTTATTCTTAATTTTCTCTCTGTCATTCTCTTGGGCATTTTCCATCTACGGAGCTCTTCTTCTTTCTTTTCTTTCTAATCATATTCTAATTTGTTTAATTTATTTACGACCCGTGTTTTTTTTATTATTCCTCTAATTCCATATTCTCGATATCCTTTCTTTCTTCTATCTATTTTTTTATTTTTCACTCATTTTATTACCTCTATAATAGTAATATCTTGTTTTCTCCCCTCATCTCTGCTCATTCTCCGGATCTGTTCTTTTCTCCTCACTACCAGTACCTGATCTCACTTTTTCTTTCCCCTTCATAGTGACTCAACCGTCCCACCTTCTTCTTCCCCTCATCAATACTCCCTCTCCCCCTCTCACACTTTTCTTCTTCCACCCACTCCCTCATTCCAATACTCACTTTTTTGTCTCCTCATCAATACTCGTCTCTTTTTCTTCATTGCCAGACTCGTTTTTTTCTTCATCAGTACTCATTTCCCCTCGTCAATACTCAGGACTTTTTCTATCAACAATACTCCCTTTTTTAATTCATCATTACTCATTTACCCTCATCAATACTCACTCCTACCGCCCCTCATCAATAGTCGATTTTTTCCCCTCAATATTCACGACTTTTTCCTTCAACAGCACTCACTTTTTCCCTTCATCAGTACTCATTTACCCTCATAAATACTCATGTTTCCCCTCCTCATTTTCCCTCATTTCCTCCCCACAGAGCAGCGTGGGCGACAGCGTGGGCAGCGGCGTGGGGAGTCCTGTCGGGGGGGAGGCACAGGGTCACCTCTCCTTCGGCATCCAGTATATCCCGACAGGGTCAAGAGGGGCAACACTGGAAACTCGCCTCGTCATCACTGTGATCGTAAGTTTAAAGTTTATTTATTTGTTTATTTTTTAAATGATGTGCGGTTTTTTCCTTCCCTCCTTTTTGTTCGTAAGTTTAAAGTTTATTTATTGTTTATTTTAAAGATGTGGGTTTTCTTTTTTCTTTTTTCCTTTTTTTATTTTTTTTTTTTTTTTTTTTTTTGTTTTTGTATGTGACGTCCTTCTGGAAACTGGAATTAGAATGTTTTAAAATTAGAATTGGAATTGGAATCGTGGAATGAGACTGAATGCTTTGAAGATATAAGTGTGATTGATGTTTATTTTTCTTTCTTTCTTTCTTTCTTTCTTTTAGAGATGACGTCTTTCTCGAAACCGGGATGCATTAGAACTAGAATTAGAATCGTTATCGTGGAATGGAATTAGAACAAAGGATTTTCTGATATGTAGATGTGTAAATGGTGTTTTTTTCTTTTCTTTTTTGACGACGTCTTTCTCGAAACTAGGTTAAGAATATTTTTTTATTTCTGTGGTGCATTTGCGTGTGGTTTTGACGGTGTATTGACGAAAGGTTAATTGCGTAGCTTGTTTTAGTAGATTTTTCTTTCTATTCATACCTTTTTTCAAGATTTGTCACATCGAAATCTGTTCAGCGCTTCCCATGCTGCATGTCTACGATTCACTTTCTTAAATTAAGATTTCAGTCACTTAGACCGCACGCGCTCACCCTCCTCTACCCACGCAGGAAGCACGAGGACTGGCAGGCAAGGAGTACTTAGGAAACGCCTGTGATCCTTACGTCAAAGTGGTGCTGTGGAAGGAACGCCGGTCACTCAGGAAGCACAAGTCGCCGCCGCTCCACGTGTTTCGAACGCGGACGGTTCGACACACCCAGGATCCGAGCTTCAACCAGTCGTTCGTCGTCGAGGCTTCGAAGAGCGAGCTGAAG